GTAACCCCACTATTGGGGTTAAATGCAACAATCACATGCAATGAAATGATGGGACCTATCTTTCGTTTCGTTTCGTTTCATTTCGTTTCGTTTTGTTTTTCCTACGGTGTAATCCTAACAGGTAATCGTGGACGTGTACCATATACTCTACACGCAGCCCATACGTGCGAGTATGGGCTCACCAGCTAGTTCGCACACCGCTGGGCCACTGTCCCTAGCCGGTGGGCATGCTCTGGGAGCTCTTATACCAGGACCCGTTAAAACTAGAACCGTCACGGCAGCGCTATGCAAAGCATAACGATCGTTGTCCTACCATTGGATGTACGCGTCCATACCCTCATGATGGGATAGGGGTATCCCCCCAAATGCATGAGCACACAATATGCATGAGGTCCCACTAGTTCTACAGTTATCATTAATGAACATAACCCCCTGTCACGTTTTCATGCTTACATGTCATTCCCATTCTCATTTCTTTACATATCATACATATTCCTAACGAGGTTATGTTTCATGCAATTTCTCGTATTTCATGTCATACAATTCATGCAGTTACATTCAAATATTCATACAAACAAGCCATAATCGTTCAAGGACCACACATCGTTATATGCATTACACATCACATCAGACTAAAAGCATACATTCACGTTCACATAACTACGTACTTAAGCACAATAATCTAGCATATAATGCATCATATCATAAACAAGTCATAACGTAAACACTTCATAGTCATATCGTTCTCTAACTTACCATAGCCTTAACGTTCTTATACCTATCACGAATATATCATTACGTAACGTACCTTAGTCATATCATCACCAGAACGTATCCTAATGCCATCGTTCTATCAATCTATCACAAACCCATCCCTTTCTACCCATATCCTAACCGTATTCTTTCATCAATCTCTCCTATCCATAGCACTCTGGTATGTAACCTAACCTTAACGTTTCATGAACGTATCTTACTCCTATCATTACATTTCGTTTTGTGCATCCTTCTCATATCCTATCTCAAACATCTCCTAGAGTACATCGTACCATAATTATTATCATACAATCCACATATTATAACATAACATCACATATGACACGTGCAGAACCACAGGGCACGTGTCAACATCAAATATAACCATGCCGATAGTAAGGTCACTTACCTGGTTCGCTTAAGTCATTGTCACAAATATATCTTTAATGAAAGTTCGATTCCGTCCTTTGAAATTCGAGTCAACCTATATGAGCTCATGACATCACTTTCAAGTTTGAACTCTATAAAATTATTTCCCTAATTTACATTGCCCATAATAAAATTCTGATCTTTTTTGTTAGACAAAATTTAAAGAAGCTCACTACCCTCCAGTAAAAATTGTGATGTTTTCCACCCAAAAAGTCTTGTTTGTGGCCTTCCTTCTCTTCTGGTTAATCCTGAGAGTCAGGGGTCTTTTCTTAGTTGGGCAGTCACGGGCTCTTTGAGGTCTTCCTAATGAGTCGTGGATGTAACTGTTATTTGATTCCGATGGCCATGTTCTCGCCTCCCCTCCCCTATTCGGGCTGTAATTCCACTTTCACGGAAGAATCGACGAGCTTTTTCGAAAGATTCCAAAGCGCACACTCGAAAGTGCTTCGAATTGAAATTAGTCATTCGTTGTTCGAGACCGGTTGAGAATTTGGAAAACAAAAAAGAAAGACCTGACGCGCACGCACGAGAAAAACTCTAATTCATTGTTACCATAGGCGATTCTGAAAAACAAAGTTCCATTCGAGATTGCGCAGAAGGTTGGGAAACCAAGAGAACACTTCGCCCTTTCTTCCTCGATTTTTATCTGAAGCTTGTGATTTAGTTTTTATCCCTTGTTTTGAGTAGCGACATTCTCCCTATAAATTCTCCCAAAAAAGAAGAGAAAGGAAAAGTCAGTCAGCCATTTTCTTGGCAAGTTCTTTCAATCCAGGGAAGGTTGATTGACAAAAGAGATTAGGTAGGGATAGGATAGGTCAGATTCCATGATTAGAGAGATGAGACTCGAGCTATTTTCATGCCTGCAAGGGAGTCGGGATAGATAGGACAGGATCACGATGGCTCTTAGATGCCATGAGTAGGACCCATATGGAAATGTTCGCCTGAGTCTAATTCAATTGAGATTAATTACTTCATTATCATCTGACGTCACCTGGGATTCCTTTTTGGCCTCAGTATCCGCCGTTGGGTTATCAGACAGATCTCAGCGCGGGCTTGAATACTTTTTCCCCACGGGTTATGCATTGGGCTCCTCATGTATGAGAAAATCCATATCATCATTGGTGCCGTATTGATCCAGCTCTTAGGAGTCCATCCACAAAGATGCATGCGGGGAGGGGTTTGAGGTCTGTAGGGTCCGAGCAACTAGGGCTTTCATCAAAGGGTTGAAGGAAGTTGAGCAAACGTAAAGGATGATGAATCACTTGCAGGGCATTCAGGGAGTAATGCTCGGGGGTTGGTATATTTTCGTCTCATGTCTCTACCATCCATTTCCCTCATTTCTCCGGCTGGCGTGATAAGGAGGGAGGGATCCCAACTCGACAATGGCGGCTCGATCATGTTTATATTGGCAGGAAGAGGTACAGCATGAGTGGGTAGATAATTGGTAGTTAGATTCGGACGGTTTGCCCTGGCTCCATTTTTCCTTTCCCTGAATTAATAAGGTCTTGGATGTCATGTTTCAGCCTTAAACACCTGGTCAGTCTTATTTATGGCCATTTGTCAGATGGTATTTACAGTAGATATTGGCTTTGTACCCTCTATCAATTTCTTTTTCCTGGGCGGATGTCCGCTTGAAAAAGGAAGGAGTCAAATGAGCTGGTGGCGGAGATGGGGGAAGAGGCGTGAGTACACCATTCTTCTTCAGCTTTTCCAAAGCGCGGCTGAGAGTTATGCCGAATGAAGTTCAAGTCCTAGGTGTCTTTGGCTTTCCGACAAGACATTGACTTCGCTGTTCTTGCTTCTTCCTCCCAGGGCGGCTATCTTCTTTCCTTTTTTGATCCGCCTTTTTGACCTGTGATCCATGTGAGTCACATTGTGGATATCATTTCAATACGAGTGGTTCCATCAAAGAGTCATAAATGGGCATTGCTTGGAAATAGAAAGAGTCATTGTATTGCCTACTCATGTTACCATTATCCGCACTTTTTCCTTTTCTGGGAGGAGATATCGATCACTTGGGCAGCTTTGGCCAACGGGCCAGGAAATTCGGGAATATTTCATTTGGTCGCTGGCGAGTCATTTCCAGCCCTCTTCTGGTTACTTTCATCGGGGTGTTCTCATTTTCTATTCTTTCAGCATTGTCGATGTCATCCCAGGATTTCAGGGTAGATTTGTCAATCTGTGTGAACCATCGCCCAGCCACTAAGAATTCTAGGAAAAATTTTGGCCATCTGCCTTCTGAGTGAGTCTCATAGAACCTACATTTGAGAAAAACTGCTGCGGATGAGTCTTAGGACAGCCAGTTCCATCGTATTTGTCTATGTCAGGCATCGCTTTTCTGGAGATTTTGCCTTTGTAAAAATGGTCATGTTGAGCCCATGGTCTGACGAACCTTGACTTTCTGCAACTCTTCCTCTAACTTGGCTAGCTGCTCCCCTTGTTCTTTCAACCATTTTGACATTTCTGTTCTGGCTTTAGGGGAAGGAAGGGTTGTGGCCTGTTAAATGAAAAAGGTTGTCCTGGGTCGGGAGAGTCTGAAGCATATTGGTCACAATCATCAAAGACCTGAACCAGAGGTGCTTGAGGTGCAGTAGAAGGAGCTGACTTATTGATGGCCCGGTTTATTCATTCCTATTCCTTTTTGGCCAATAGAGCCTTGAGTCGAAAGTGGTTGGTTCAGGCAGAACCGGGATTTTGGGTTCATCTGACATAGTAGCTACAATGGGAGATTCAGAATTCGGGGGTCTAACTTCTTCTACATGAACCAGTCGGCGAGATGGGCGGACCCAGGACGGTTCAAGGGGAACTTTCTTGCGGGATGGAATGATGTGAAAAAAGAGAATCACCTATCTCATAGTCTTGCTTAGTGCTCAGGTGCATCCTACTGGGTGTTCAAATGTAGTTTAGTTCTGTTCTATGGCCACGTGTAATGATAGAATTTAAGCTAACGTAGGACAAGTAAAGGTTCCCACTGCAATGGGGCTAAAAAAGAGACCTCCCAGCCCTTCATCTCTAGGACGTAGGACTGGTCAAACGGTACTATGCACTCCCACTTTGGTATACCCTCTTAAGAGGAGTACTTGGCAGCTGGTGGTGGGTTTATGGGATGGTATGACTCGGCTCTCTGGCCCGTAGCAACCAATACTTCCCCCTGGGTTTTCCTATTTCTGGACTATATGCAAAATGCAAATGCATGCTTAGGTGTAGTGAGGTGGTGTGTGCTTATTTTAAATAGGTGCCCCCTAAGTTTCTACATATTCTATTTTGAACAAAGGAAACAAGAAGGGTTGGTTCATTTTCAAGTTAAGTGAGAAGCCAAAAACCATAGCATAGATTTGAGGCTGATATTCCCTAGTGGAGTCGCCAGCAGTAGCGCCCGCATTTTGTTTGGCACCGCTTGCCACATCATCACGAGGCCATAAAGTCCTATCAAAAGAGGAGAAAAAGGGGTTTAGAGTCGACACCTAGGCATAGGGCCTTAGGACTCAAGAATTTGACTCCGAGTCTAGGAACCATTGGTCCGAGTAAGGCCTTCCTTTATATATTCCAGTATAATAGCAGGGCGTTAGCGCAGGCAAGAAAACGGAAGAAGCAAGTCATTCATTTGACTGAAAAAAGTCATTCATCATTGAGTATTACAGAAGTGACGATTTTTCTCTTTAAGTAAGAGATTGGCCATCGCCCAAAGGCGGCTAATTGAGCTGGTCATCGTTGAGCCTTTCCTCACTTTAAAAGCCACTTTCTTTTCTGATTAGTAAGTGGATGAATATTCGTTGTATATCTATATTGGACTTGAGATTTAGCATTGTTTTTTTTCAGTATATATACTCTAATGTTCAGTGAGATATCCTACTGACGGAATCGCTTGAATTAGTTGAAGGAAAGGAGGTGGCTGGTCTCACTAGAGAGGAGAGTTTTGACAGCGAGGGAGACAGGGGTGCGTTGGTATCGTATATGTATATATATAAAAGGCTGCATTTAGGAGTGATCCTTCCCTTTTCTTCAAGTGGCGATCTCACTTGAGAAAGAGAGTCTGTGCTTAGTAGCGCGTAAACAGAACACGTAGCTCCATAGCGAAACTAGTCACTGACTACAGGTTTCTTTCCTACCGCCGGACCGAAGGTAGCCTAGAATGTGATGTCAAAAGGACCAACGACGATGAAGGAGAAGAAAGAAGGAGTAGGAGCTAGCCTGACTTTATAAGAGTAGGGGAGAAGAAGCTCCACGAGAAGAGGCGCGAAGCTAAGAGACTGGAAAGGAGAGGAGCGAAGCGGGGAGACCAAAAGGGAGAGGAGCGAAGCGGCTCGACTGGAAAGGAGAGGAGCGAAGCGGGGAGACCCTTATAATAAGCGAATGCGCGAAGCTAAGAAGACTGTAAAGGAGAGGGGCGGAATCGAATGATTATGATCTCGACAATGAGACAGAGCCAAGAGGGGAGAGCACTTAGACAATTCACTTTGAGTACAGGAAAGTCTGCTGGTAGGAATTCCTCAGGGCGTATTACGGTTTTTCACCGAGGGGGTGTGATAAGATAAGGAATCAATACAAGGGGAATAAGATTCGGATTACCTTGTTGATCGAATATCTCAAGGAAAAACACTTGTTTGAGATTCGAATCACTCCACAAGCAAGATCGATCATGTCTAGCTTGAATGATTCTTGCTGATCAAATATCTCAAACAATTGTTTGAGATTCGAATCACTCCACAAGCAAGGTTGATCATGTCGAGCTTGAATGATTCTACATACAACCTAAACTACATAGAATTGCAAAGAAACTTAGCCATTGGCTAAAAAAGAACACAAATGCTTCTTTTACTATATTTTTCAAGTCTGCTTACAAATATAACATACATGGCTTTATATAGCCTCAAAATGAAACTATTAAAGGCATTCCAAAAGTTGTAACATTCATACTTAATAACCATAATTACCCATTATGTAAATGTAACCTAAAGTAAATAAAATGTCTTAAAATACAATAACTCTAAATTACTCTAAATTGTAACCCACCTAAAATTTACAACAATCAAAATTTATTCTTCTTCAATGTAGCATGAATTGAAACATCTTTTGATAATTTTGACAACCTTTTCTTCACATCTTCATTGAAGTATATTGTATGATTTATGTCTTTTGGTTCATATCATTCTCCACTTCCTCAAGAGGATTCGTCCTCGAATCTATTTGTGTAACTTTGCTGCAAAAAATAAGTTATGGAAATACGAAGGACCTCACAACACTCTCTCACGAGTATACGCTCAAGGAATTTTAGGACACACTAATTACACTCAGTTACACAAATGAAGCTCTCATTCTCACCTATCAAACTTTTAAATAGAGCAAAGATTGAATTTTGAACTCTGGGTTGATTAAAAACTAAAAAGATGAAAATAAATTAAAATCAAATTGAGAAGAAACGCAAAGGAAACATATATCCGATCTTGAGCCTGAAGCTCTGATACCAACATGATATGGAAATGATAAGATAAGGAATCAATACAAGGGGAATAAGATTCGGATTACCTTGTTGATCGAATATCTCAAGGCAAGAAGAACGCTTGATTGAAATTCAAATCACTCCACAAATAAGATCGATCACGTCTAGCTTGGATGATTCTTGTTGATCAAATATCTCAAGGGAAGAACACTTTCTTGAGATTCGAATCACTCCACAAGCAAGATTGATCATGTCGAGCTTGAATGATTCTACATGCAACCTAAACTACATAGAATTGCAAAGAAACTTAGCCATTGGCTAAAGAAAAGCACAAATGCTTCTTTTACTATATTTTCCAAGTCTACTTACAAATCCAACATACATGGCTTTATATAGCCTAAAAAATGCATTCCAAAAGTTGTAACATTCATACTTAATGACCATAATTAGCCATTATGTAAATGTAACCTAAAGTAAATAAAATGTCTTAAAATACAATAACTCTAAATTACTCTAAATTGTAACCCACCCAAAATTTATAACCATCAAACTTCATTCCTCTTCAATGTGAATTGCAACCTCTTTTGATAATTTTGACAACATTTTCTTCACATCTTCATTGAAGTATATTGTATGAATGATGTCTCTTGGTTCATATCATTCTCCACTTCTTCAAGAGGATTCGTCCTCGAATCTATTTGTGAAACTTTGCTGCAAAACATAAGATATGAAAATACAAAGGCCCTCACAACAATCTCTCATGTGTATACACTCAAGGATTTTTTTTAGGCCACTCTGTTTGCACTCATTTACACAAATGAAGCTCTCAATCTCACGTCTCAAAATTTTGAATAGAGCAAAGATTGAATTTTGAACTCTGGGTCGATTAAAATCTAAAAAGATGAAACTAAATAAAAATCAAATTGAAAGAAAATGCAAAGGAAACATATATCGGATCTTGAGCCTGAAGCTCTGATACAAAATGATATGATAAAGGAATCAACTACAAGGGGAATAAGATTCGGATTACCTTGTTGTTCGAATATCTCAAGGCAAGAACACTTGATTGAGATTCGAATCACTCCACAAGCAAGATCGATCATGTCTAACTTGAATGATTCTTGCTGATCAAATATCTCAAACACTTGTTTGAGATTCGAATCACTCCACAAGCAAGGTTGATCATGTCAAGCTTGAATGATTCTACATGCAACCTAAACTACATAGAATTGCAAAGAAACTTAGCCATTGGCTAAAAAAGAACACAAATGCTTCTTTTACTATATTTTCCAAGTCTGCTTACAAATATAACATACATGGCTTTATATAGCCTCAAAATGAAACTATTAAAGGCATTCCGTAACATTCATACTTAATGACCATAATTAGCCATTATGTAAATGTAACCTAAAGTAAATAAAATGTCTTAAAATACAATAACTCTAAATTACTCTAAATTGTAACCCACCCAAAATTTACAACAATCAAAATTTATTCTTCTTCAATGTAGCATGAATTGAAACATCTTTTGATAGTTTTGACAACCTTTTCTACACATCTTCATTGAAGTATATTGTATGATTGATGTCTTTTGGTTCATATCAGGGTGGATCGAAGCGATTGCAGCGAAGAATTGATCTGAAACGAAGCACTTCGTCTATGGGCATTGTAGAAAGAATAGAATATGACCCTAATCGTTCTTCTCGGATCACTCCAGTACGATGGATCGAGGGGTTCCGCCAGAGGAAATGCAAGACGATAGAGGAGTTCGCTCCGCCGCGTAAGATCCTCGAACCTACCACGACCACCATCCGCAGCCTATTTTCGTTATCTTCCACGCCTGGGTAGGTGGATCAAAGAAAGGTAGCTTGCTTCTCTCCTGGACAGATGGTGGCTTATGTAGTGGTCGGCCTTCCTACCAGGATTCCTCCTTGCTCGAAGAGCCCCTTTACTAGTAAGGGCGCAGGAAGCAAAAAAACTTGTGCTAAGGACGTTTTCTTCTCTGCCTTCTCCTCTCAAAAAACCAAGGGAGAGACTGCATCCCTTTCCTTCGGTAGCTCTTTAGGTTTCCCAAGGATAGCGGTAGCTGGGGGAAAGCCAGCTTTCTTCGCTCCGCGAATGAGAGAGAAAGTCAAAGGAAAAAACACGTTCTCTCTTTGCGAGGTCCGAAAGTGGAGAACACATAGCATTCTCTGGGCACACAGGATGAAACGTAAAGCAGCGCTTGATTGGTAGAGTTTTAGGCGGCAAGAGACTGACGGGCTTGTTGGAGGTGCTGAGCATAACGAATCGAAACCAGAGACGGATCCAGACTAGGTTGCCTGCCAAGCCGATAGGCGAAGGGCCGAAGGATGGAGTGTGCAAAGTCAATCGTGCACCTGTCGTGTGACCCGTTGGTCCTAAGCAATGTCTTGCACGAAGCAACCCACCTAGAAAAGCTCCCATTTATCTTATGGCTAAAATGGAACTTCGATCGGATGTGGGTATCCAACCCCACCGCTGAGATGTCGAGCAGATTCCTGGGCGTTGACGAATGGCCGGCCACCTTTGATGTTAGAAGAAAGAGCAAAAGGCCCGGGGCATAGCTGGATGAACCAATGTGAATGAGTGTAAGCTTCGTGACCCAAACACGATTGGTGCTGACCACACTAGGGGCGGGCTACCGTGGTAGCAAAAGAGAGAGGCCAGGCGGTGACAATTGAGAGGTTGTCACTGAGCATTCCTAGTCACACGGGAAGAGAGGTCAAATGGCAAGAAGGCCATACGCCCGTTTGGCTCCTCGCGGAGTATAGCTCACATCCAAACATCTATCTGATTGGGGAACGGGGCAACGCCCATGAAGCTCTGGTGGAAAGGGAAGGCCTGCCAGGCCGTATGCCCATGGGTGCAGGATTCTTCGAAAAAGCGCGGGCTGACTCGGAGACTTGGGACCTTGGCTTAGCAACGAATGAAGGGGAGCTCAAAGAGCTTTCTCCCCCAGTGGCTTATGTAGTGGTCGGACGGCAGAAAGCTCGCAAAGCCTCGCTTCCCTCCCTTCTTCAATGAAGTGGAAAGTTTGAACACTTAGTATAGTAGTCGGCATTCTATAAGCGACTTGTCGAGTCTACGAAGCTTTGCTTCTTGTAGTCGGCCCCTATTGCCTCCCCCTGAATTTGCTTGCCTCCTTACAGCTCAGACAGAATGACGCCTTGACTTTAGTATTGAGTATTAAGTAGCTAAGTTGACAAAGGGGAACAGCCAGCCCACTCTTCTTTATAGTCGTAAAGAGCCTCTCTGAAAAGTCAGGAAGGAGGCGAAGGGACGAAAGCCAGACAAAAGAAAGGACTATGATATTGGCAGTATGATATAGTCAGAAAGTACGAAAGTACGTTAAGGTTACGAAGTCACTTAGCCGTCTACAAAGAAAGGGAAAGGCAAAGGCGTCGGTACGGAGTCACGTCAACTGTGGATATAGACTAGGTAGGCTAGTTGGAATGGAACGGAGTTTGAAACTATGGACCGAGACTACATTAAGGAACAAGGAAGCTTGACT